GTGTGGCTGCTGTGTATTGGCTCTGTGTGTGTGTGTGGTTGTGTGGTGGCTGTATGCAGGTATATAGGCTTACACTGTGTCTCCATATGCATGTGTTGGTATGAGTCATACTTGGTGCAGGCCCACAAGACAGGTGGGCACGTGTCTGATGGTGGTGGCAGCATTCTGAGGGGAAGGCAGCAGGCCATGGGTGAGCTCAGGGGAGCCTGGGGCAGTCCAGCTTCAGCCAGGCTCTGAGCAGGGCGGCAGTGGAGGTGTAGGGGCTGGCTGGGGAGATAGGACAGGCCTGGCCCACCAGGGGGTGACTGGTGAGCCTGCCTCTCGTCCCCAGCTGACACTCTGCAGACCCACTCAGGCCTCTTTCTGGAGGAGCTGGACATGCTGGTGCCCTCGACGCCAACCTCGGCCAGCGGTGCCTTCTGGAAGGGCAGTGAGTTGAGCACGGAACCTCCTGCCCAGCCAGCTGCCCCCAGCACCACCAGTGAAGTGGTCAAGAGTAAGTCAGCCAGCCTTGCCTGGGGAGTGCAGCCTCCTGGGGGGTGGGCCCCTCCTCTGGTTGCCCCAGCGCTGAGTCCCGGCTTGGCAGAGGTCAGGCTGGGCGGGCAGGTGGCCCGGAAGAGCGCCCAGGCAGGCAGAGGGGGCCCGGGACGGGAGCCCCCTGACTCACTGCCCGTCGTGGCCGTGCAGTCCTGGAGCGCTGGTGGGGGACCAAGCGGATTGACTACTCACTGTACTGCCCTGAGGCGCTCACGGCCTTCCCCACCGTCACGCTGCCGCACCTCTTCCACGCCAGCTACTGGGAGTCGGCCGACGTGGTGGCCTTCATTCTGCGCCAGGTGGGCCGGGCTGGGAGGCCGAGATGGGGATGGGCTGCGGGTGGCGGGGAGCCGCGGACGCAGTTCATGTGGCGTCGCCCGCCGCAGGTGATAGAGAAAGAGCGGCCCCAGCTGGCGGAGTGCGAGGAGCCGTCCATGTACAGCCCGGCCTTCCCCCGGGAGAAGTGGCAGCGCAAGCGCACGCAGGTCAAGATCCGGGTACGCACCCCGCCCCCTCCTCAGCATTTGCAGACACCCCCCTTCACAACCACCGTACCCACTATCCAGCCCCTCTGCACTCGCCCCTCTTTCCTCACGACCTGGTGCCTGGGGACCAGAACCCCACTCTGAAGTCAGGGTCATCAAACAGACGTGCATCCCGGCCCCCTTGTGGCCAAGTCCCGCCCCTATGGTCTCAGCCCCGCCCCCTCCGGGCCAGGCCCCGCCCCTTGGCCTGGGATTTCCCCCTCCCCCTCTCCCTCGCATCCAATCCACCCCCAGCCCCGGCCTTATGGTGTCTCTTCCGCCAGAACGTCACTTCCAACCACCGAGCAAGCGACACTGTGGTATGCGAGGGCCGCCCCCAGGTGCTGAACGCACGCTTCATGTACGGACCCTTGGATGTGGTCACGCTTACCGGAGAGAAGGTCAGGACCCAGCGGCCTGCGCGGGTAGAACTGGCCCACTGGTGCCTCCAGTTCCCTGGAGCAGCTACGGGTCCAGCCCGGCCGAGCCCAGCCCACTCCCGCTCTCCTCGCCTCAGTCGGGGTCACCCGGGGACCCATGACCCTCTCTGCCCCTCCCCGCCAGGTGGACATCTATGTCATGACGCAGCCACTGTCCGGCAAGTGGATCCACTTCGGCACTGAGGTCACCAACAGCTCGGGCCGCCTCACCTTCCCGGTGCCCCCCGAGCGCGCCCTGAGCATTGGCGTCTACCCCGTGCGCATGGTGGTCAGGTGAGTGGGGGGGGGGCGGGGCTCCGGGGGCGGGGCTCTGGTAGAGCCCCGCCCCCACCTCACACTCCGCCCCCGCCTCACACTCCGTGGGCCACAGAGGCGACCACACGTATGCTGAGTGCTGCCTGACGGTGGTGGCCCGCGGCACGGAGGCCGTGGTCTTCAGTATCGACGGCTCCTTCACCGCCAGCGTCTCCATCATGGGCAGCGACCCCAAGGTGCGCGCCGGCGCCGTGGACGTGGTCAGGTAGGAGCCGCGTCACCTCCGGGTGCCAGCACCGCGCGACCTGGGCTGACCATGGCCCCGCCCGCAGGCACTGGCAGGACGCGGGCTACCTGATCGTGTATGTGACGGGCCGGCCTGACATGCAGAAGCACCGCGTGGTGGCCTGGTTGTCGCAGCACAACTTCCCCCACGGCGTCGTCTCCTTCTGCGACGGCCTCACCCACGACCCGCTGCGCCAGAAGGCCATGTTCCTACAGAGCCTGGTGCAGGAGGTGCGCCATCCGGAGGGTTCCCACACCACCCCACCCCCTCCAGAGGAAGGACCATCCGGTACCGCCCCCCTGCGGTCTGGCGGCCTCCTAACAAGATCCTTGGTCCCTTCGTGGTCCCAGGGACCCTTTGCCCTGGGAGCCAAAGGGGGATATCGGACTGGACGGGCTGGGTCGGATGGTGACTTGAGCATCTTGCGGCCCCGCCTCTGTCCCGTTAGCCTCGCCCCTGATAGTCAGACTCCCGGAAGCCTAGGGGACCCTGCACCTGCCTCAGGGCCCCGCCTCCCGGAGAGCTGACATGCATCTCGGGCCACAGGTGGAGCTGAACATTGTGGCCGGCTACGGGTCCCCCAAAGACGTGGCCGTGTACGCTGCACTGGGCCTGCCCCCGAGCCAGACCTACATCGTGGGCCGTGCTGTGCGGAAGCTGCAGGCGCAGTGCCAGGTGAGGGCCCTGCAGAGGAGAGAGGGGCCCTGCGGACCTAGGTGTGGCTCTGAGGCCTTAGCAGCACCCAAGGGGGTGGCTGTGAGCTGCCCCACAGGCCAGCCCTGTGTCTCTGGCCTCTGGAGATCTGTGGTCCTTGTAGAACTGGGCTCATGAGCAGCGTGCAACTGCCAACCACACCCCCGCAGGCCCTGGTGGTAACTGCTAGAGACCTTGAGTGCTGGCTGCAGGCAGCCATGACCTCCACCTGTGGGAGCCTGTTACTGCTCTGAGATGGTGATGGCACCTACGTGCAGTCTCGGCTTCTCACAAGGATCAAACGATTTGTCACACGTCACACCGCTGGCCCAAAGATGTCCCCCTAAGATCCTGTTTTACAGATGAGGGAAACCAAGGCCCAGCAGTCAGAGTAAACCCCTGGGGACCTGGCTCCCATCCTGGTCCAGCAGCACTGATGGTCCCCACCCTGCCTCAGAAACCTAGGGAGAACCTGGGGGGAAGCATGTGGGCCCCCGGCCAGCCGTCCCCTCACGCCTGTCCACTTGTGCCTGCAGTTCCTCTCCGACGGCTACGTGGCCCACCTAGGCCAACTGGAGGCGGGTTCCCACCCTCATGCCCCCACTGGACCCCAAAGGGCTTCCTTGGCCAAGAGCAGTTACAGTGTGGGCGCCCCCGTGGACTTCCTGCGAAAACAGAGCCAGCTGCTGCGTTCCAGGGGCCCTAGCCAGGCCGAACGTGAGGGCCCGGGGACACCACCAGGCACCCTGGCTCGAGGCAAGGCCCGCAGCATCAGCCTCAAGCTGGACAGTGAGGAATGAGGCCACACTGGCCGGACACGTATTATTTATACACACCCTGAGGACCCACACGGCTACCACAGGAGGCTGGGGGCCCACCCCACCGGCCCCACCCAGCCCACAGGCCCACACCCTGCATCCGTCTGCCCCTCAGTATTACTTCCTTTCCATGTGGGGGACCCACCCTGGGGAGGGAGGAGGGAGTGGGCGGGCCCAGAGCCTTTCCAGTGTGTGTCCGTTAGGAAAATAAAGCCACCGCATCTCGCGGCATGTCCACCTGGCTGGCATCCCAGGGCAGCTGAGCACAGCTGATGGTTCGGTGGGGACGTGGAAGTCAGAGGGACAGGGTGCAGCCCAGGGTCCTAGAGCAGGTCAGGTGGGGCCAGGACAGCGGCCTGGGCCTCCAGGGTCTCAGGGTTCTGCATAGGCCCCAGTCTGGACCCACCCCTTGGCCATGGCATCTCACCAAAAGCTCTGCCCCGAGAAAGCGAGGCCAGGGGACAGTGGGGTCAGAGGTGGGGTGGGGGACCATACTGGGAGAGCACCTCACTGGAAGACAAGCCCTTCCTCCCTCTCTCCTTCTCGCTTAGAGCGTTGAACCGTTGAACCGGTTCGTTCTTACAGATCCCCACCCCAAGTGATTCTTCCGTATACTTGTGAAAATGTGGGTCTGCGGTGGAAATTCGGAATGAACCAGTTCAAAGCCCTGTGAATCCAACCCCACCTAACTTCCAGAAGACCTACCACCTCCCAAAGTTTCCTCCCTCCACCACAGGCCTCTGATGCCCACCCTGCTGACTCAGGTTCTCTCCCCACCCCCCAAAACCACTTCCTTCTCCCATGCTGGCCCTGTCACCAGGCTCAGCCCCCAGGCCAACAGGGCCACCCTCCAAACACGTTCTCTCCCAGCTGTGCACCCCACACCTTACTACCCCTCGGCCTCCCCACTGCCCCTTGCACCCTCTTCTCCAGTGCTCCTTCCTCACCCCTCGCCCCAGGACCCCGGCACCATCCAGCACCAGCTGCCCAGGCCATTCCTCTCTGTTCCAAATCCTGCAGTGGCTCCCGTGCTCCGTGGGACAACCCCAGGGCCTCCCCCGCCCTGAAGTTCCTCCCTAATCTGGACCCCTTGGTTCCCATGCACCCCCAGCCCCCACATCCCTCCGACACGGTGCCCTCTTCACCTCCCATGCCCTTCAGGAGACGGCTCAAGTCCCTGACCCTCCCGAAAGGAAGCCTCCCTCAGCCAGCCTGGCCACCTGGCTCCCCTTCAAGACGGGGGGCTCCCAGGGCGCAGCGGCCCTGGCCAGCAAGAACCCCTTCTCTTCAGTAGAGTGTCACCCTCATTTCTGTCAGAGATGAGACTGGGGGGTAGTGAATGGGGAGCTGGGCCTAGAACCCCCTGCTCCTTTCCTCCCCAGGGCCACCCAAGAACGAGAAACGTCAGGGCTGAGCCCAGCTCTCCCAACGGATTAGCCCAGCAGACCACAGTGAGATAAATACAGCCTTTATACAGAGAGAACCGCGGTGCGGTGGGGGAGGTGGGCTGGCCAGGGCATGCGGGGCCAGGAACCCTGTCAATGGGAGAAGATGCCCCGGAAGCGGGCTTTGTCCTCCTCGTCCTTCTGCCGGATCCGTGCCTCCAGGGCCTGCAGCTCACGTCTCACGACGGGCTCCAGGCCTGGATCCAGCTCCAGCACCTTGGCAAAGTCAGCCTGGGCCTCCCGAACGTCCCACACGGCCGCGTGGGCCTTGCCCCGCTTGAAGTAGGCCTTGACGTTGTCTGCAAAGGATACCAGCGGGCAGGATGCAATGGCATGAGCAGGGTACCAGGCCTGCCTGGCTGCCCTCCTGGCACCATGTACCCATCAGGGAAGCACGCCCCCCCGGACCTGTAGACACCACCCTCCCCCATGACACCCTGCATCCCTCACTGGTACGGCAGGGCCCGTGCCACGGGTGGGGGTGTTTCGTGAGGTCCTTGTGAGGCTGGGACTTGGGCCCAGTGCTCACCGTCGTACTTGTTGAGGATGGAGGAGCAGTGGTCGAGTACCTCGTAGTACTCCTTGGCCACCAACTTGCACTGGCAGTAATTGAGCAGCAGGGGGGTGATCTGCTGGTCCAGCTGGATCCAGTCAGGGGACCCCGGCTGTTCCTGGGGGCCCAGGGAAGGAAAAGGGGTTCAGCCTGCAGCCGGCTGCCCCCCACCCCCACCCCAGCCCCTGGGCAGCACCTTCATCTGCAGGTTCTTGAGGCAGGCGATGGCGTCATAGTACTTGGCGGCCGCTTCCTTCACATGCCCCTCGCGGTACAGCTGGTTGCCCTCCTGGTGGATAACCGGCACTGCCCTGGCCTTCTCCTCGTCCGTCATGGCCCACGGGTCCTGCTGGTACGTGCCAGGGTTCTCCACCTGCCGGGGCGCGAGCCAAGTCAGCTTCTCAGCCCCAGACCCACCAGCATCTGAGCTGACAGGGCCCCAGACCATGGACACGGGTGGCAGAACCAGCTGTTCCCTTGCTGGGGAGTCAACAAACACTTCTTGGACGACAAACATCTCCTACGTGCCCCAGCCCTGGGCCACATGCTGGGAACGGAGCAGTGAACAAGAGGCTGAAAGCCCTGGCTCGCCAAGCTCGAGCTCCCTGGGGAGAATCCCCAAACAGACATGGAAACGCACACGCCTACGTGACGTCAAATCCCGGCAGGGCTGTGCAGGTGGTAACCGCACAGGGACAGAGAACGCAGGACACAGGGTGGGAGAGCAGGCCCATCGGGGGAGGTGCGTTTGGGGCCCGGAGGAGCAGGGCTACCAGAGGACTGCGGGGGTCCCAAGCGGGCCTTTCCCGCACCTGCCTCCGGCTGCCCCTCTCAGCAGTCCATCCACCGATCCCACTGCCCTGGTGGGTATCTGGGGCCTGGCAGCCCTCACCTTCAGCATCTCGATGTCAAAGATGAGAGGCCGGGGGCGCTGCTGCAGGGCGTCTAGGTCGGCGTGGCCCAGGGAGCCGTGCTCGCGCATCTGGGCAATGCCGCAACAGTGCCTCTGGCCCTCCAGCGGGTCCTTGCCAACTGCGATGTTACGCAGGCTCTTGGCCACCAGTGGATACAGGACAACGTGCTGCAGGCAGGCGAGTGGGCACAGGGGCTCTGTCAGCGCAGGCCGACTGGTCACCAGCCCCCTTGCCCATCACTGTTGGAGAAAGGACACTGAGGCCCAGAGAGGGAACGCCAGTGGCTCAGGGTCCCCCACCTGAGCACAGGGGAGGCCCCTAGAAATCCCCAGCCTCCCTCCTAGTGAAGACCCCGCTTCTGCCACACTCTCTGGGCACCAAACCAAACCAAGCACCTAACACACACACACACACACACACCCATCCTCCTGTCTCCCCTGTCCTTACAGGCCCATGGACTTCTCACCTCTCCATCTCCCCTTCCCTGGGACACAGCCCACAAGCCAGGCTCCTCACCATTACTGGGGTCCCCCCCACCACATTCTGCTCCCTGCATCTTTTCCTTTTCCTCCCTCCCACCCCACCCAGTTCAAGGACCTAGCTCAGAGCTGGACCCAGGACAGCAACTTCAAAGCCTCAGGGGAGACGGGTGTAGGGGACCTTGGCTCTGGCCCTGCCCCTTGAAACAGCACGGGGGTGTGGGAATCAGTGTAGCCGAGCTTTCCCATTCCCCCGTGGTCCACACGGGAGCTGAGTGCTCGGCTCTTGGCCAGCCACACAGCAAACCTTTCCTGAGCGCGGCACTGGCCAAAGCCGGAGGTGAACGGGCCCGCTCCCTGCCCTGCAATGGCTAGGACCGGGTAGGGGACCAGACCCTGATCATGACAGCCATGAGGAGTCTGGGGGACTCAAAGGAGGGATTCAAGCCTCCCACTAGCAGTCAGGGAGGGCTTCCCGAGGGTGGTGACCCAGGAAGTGACCTTGAAGTATGGGGGAGGATCTTGACCATGAAGGGACAGAAAGGAAAGGCAGGGAGGCAAGGGGGAGCCTAGCAGAGGCAAGACCACAGGGCGGGAGAGCAGCTAGAACTTACATTCTGACACCAGGAGCCATGGAGGTTTTAAGCAAGGAGTTGTGCGGGCAATTTGCACAGGGCTGCAGTCTGGCTAGTGGACAGGAGAGGGGAGAAGAGAGGCCAGGATGCCAGTGGGAAGGCAAGTGGGAGCTAGGAGTGGGCCAGCCACCGTGGGAGGCCTGGGGACAGACCTAGGGCTCGGCTGGGACAGACAGACACGGCAGGCAGGTATGGGCCGGGCACCTTGACGTCACAGAGGAACTGGGCGATCTCCCCTGGGCGCATGGTGCACACGATGGTCTCCCACACGGGCAGCTTGAACTTCTTGCCGATGATGAGCTCCATGGGTTTGCCGCGCATCCGACTGTCATCCAGCGCGGTGCCTTCCTCATCGCCGTACAGTGTCCGGTAGTGGAAGGTGGCCTATGGACCAGAGACTCAGAAAGGGCCCACCCCACCTTCCAGACGGCACAAGGGACACAGCTCCCCTGGGGTCT